GGACGAGCAGAGACATGTGTCTGGGCACATTATCATGATGCAGCCGCCAGTTAGTGGCGATGTCTTTTCGCACGCAGATGACCCTTTTCCTTAATCTTTCTAGAACATCCACGTAGTGGGGAGCGTTGGCGGTCGGTCCTTGGGGTAAAAACTCTTTGTGGACCACACTCTTGGCGTCGAAAAAGACGATGAGCATTGTTTTCACTTTGGATTTGCTCATCTTCACCTTCTTCGGTTTCGGGGAAGCCGAGGTGTGCCATTCAGCACTCTGGCGCTTCGTTTCTGGGTCGTACTCAAATGTCCACGTTTCATCACCAGTAATAACACAGTGTAAATAATGAGGTTCAATTTCCACACGTTCCTTCAATTCACTCGTGATCAACACTCGATTGGCCTTTTGCTCATCCGTCAACAATTTGGGGACCAGCTTGGCGCACACCTTTCACATGTTCAATTCGTCCATAATGATGCGATGCACAACGGTTTTTGGAATGTTCAGAGTGTTGGCTAACAACCGGATAGTCATTTGATGGTCATATTCAACAAATCACGCACGGGTCACATTTTAATCCGTTTGGCTTGTTGATGGCTGTGTTGATGGCCGTCCAGAGCGGGGGTCATCTTCCACTCCTTCCTGGCCCTCCTTAAACTTCTTCACCCACCTTGTAACTTGCACATATGATAGAGCAGACTCCCTGTAGGCTTGCTTAAGCAGTTCGTGAATTTTGGCAGCTTTTTTTATTGAGCTTTGTGCAGAACTTGACCTCCCAACGTTGTTTGAAAGTATCCGCCATCGCGCGCCGTGACGTCACAAAACACAGGTGCACTAAATCAGCGATACTGACGCCTCTGATGCTCTAGCAGACTGACCTTGGGCGCGCTGTGAAGTTAAAGGCCTCCCTCCCCAACCCAACCGGTTCCAGCGCGCTCCGACCAGTAGGAGCGCGGGAAAGAAATATACTGTATTTCATGACTTTTGGGACACACCTTGTATGGAACTATGAGACTAATTTATGTATGATAGTTAAATAATTCCAGATAAAAGAGGCTTCAGACTCATGTGCAATGAACTGGACAGCACTTGCCAAATGCTTAAAATAAGCTCTTGCCCTATGCTGTAACTTAAGACATTTTATTATAATGGCATACTTAAAACTAGACTAAGTGTCCTATCAGAATGCACCAATTCTATACCCTCTGCCAGCTGGATGGAGTTATGAAAAACACTCTGGATGCCCAATTTTACCTGACATTAAAGGTGCGGCCACACAGAGTGGTACGTACGCTATGTTCGCTACACGAACAGAAATTATCTCCCTTTATTGCCAATGTGACTGGCCACACTGACTTCCGTTCACTTCGTACACTATGTTTGCTATGTTAGCTGCATCGCAGAATGTTTGATTCTTGGCTATATTTTTAAAACGTCTCGCTGGACGGGCATGCGCACTGGGCTCGCTTCCAGGTGTCAGCTGCATGCCTCAGTAATTTCCCACTCTGATTACAACACATGTTACGTATCATTCAGCGCAATATTTGCTTAGATGAAAATGACACTGGAAGAATTACTTGAAGAAGTAAGGAAGTATCCATGTTTGTGGAACAAAGGGTTAGAAGAATATCGGAACCAGAACATGCGAGATAATGCCTGGGACATGATTTCTGGAGAATTGAATACACCAGGCAATGTACAAACATTGTTCTTTTATCTATAAGTGAAGAACTTAAAATATTTTCATCAACCCGAAAATATTCTTTAAATTTAACTTCATCTTCACGTAACTGCTTTATCAGATGATGAAATTCACCAAACTTTGTTCTTCTTAAGTTCACGCCATGCACCCACTTCCTTTTACATTTACACAAGGGAAGTAACAGCAAAAGCTCATCATCAGAATCATTGCTGCCCCCGCATGGCACACTATCGGCCAATATCTCATTCAAGACTGAGCAGTTTCGTACCAAAGCATTCTGTGTGGCCACGCGGTGTAGCGAACATAGCGTAGCGCTCTGTGTGGCTGCACCTTAACACTAAATGTAGGGTCGCGCCATAGCTCAAGCGGTTAGTCGCTGGCTTCCCACCACAGTGGCCCGGGTTCGATTCCAGATCTGGTCAAGTGGGATTTATGGTGGACAAAGTGGCGCTGTGGCAGGTTTTCTCCGAGTATTTTGGTTTCCCCTGCCAATCTTCATTCCGCCAATTGCTCCACAGTCACCCTAATCTATCATCTGTGGCTGGTACAATAGGCCAGAAGTGGCTGCAGTACAAGGGACTTAGTCCCACCCTACTAGCAATAAAAAAAACACTCAATGTAATTTATTACCACTTACAGAAATTGTAAAATTATGTTAAGTAAGTTTGTTAAAACAGTCATGACAGAAAATTATCTATCACCATTTTTCTTGAAGAACAATTGCAGGAAATATGTAAGCCATTAATGCAAAATACTGGGCTATAAAAATAATGTCATTAATGTCTATGGAAAGAGAAGAGTGGCACAAGATTATTATTTTACCATTTTTTATATTTTACAAATAAGCAAATACATAACATTTGTACATTATCAAGACAAAATTTTAGAATTCTGAACATATTCTAAGTGACTGCTATTAAAGAGTAATATGTCAGAATGGTACACTTTTTTCAGTGATATTTGGTATGAATATTGGGGCTTTTGAGAAATTCTGACGAAGTTATTTCCTCCAGTGTAACAATATGAAGAAGATAAAACAAAGTAGTGTCAGTGACTTGATTAACCCCATAAATATATGTGCATCTAATTATCCAGTTTCTGAGAAGAAGGTAGTGTTTGAATGTTGGCATGTGTTTTTCTTGTCCATCGTATTTTCTGCCTTTTTTTTTCAGTAGTTTGTGTTCCTCCTAAATGTTACTTATTCTCGTAGATGCTTTATCAAGTATGTTATCAGATTAAGAGGATTCTGTACTATGAATTGATACTTTAATCCTGATGTAGCATGCAGTATGTTGGTGTATGTGTAAATGTTTTGTTCCCATTGCTTTTAAATCAGTTGAAATCTGAGACATCAAACAGATGAAGTCTGCAATCAAGAGAAGTTTAGAAAGACCACCAAAAAGATGGCTTGAAACAGTAATGGTTCACACGACCTAAATATTTGGCAGGATGTTTATATACTCCACCTACTGTTGGAATGAAGATCTTTATTGGTGTAGACCTTTGTATCATCATTAGAAAGTTGCTAAATTCTGTTTAAGTATAATTCTGATAGGATATTCAGGTGTCCCTGTAAAGTTGTGTGCACAAGATATACTGTACCCTGGTTCATAGAGTATGTGTACTTTATAAATGTTTTACATATTCTCTTGTGTGGGATTTCTCTAAATATAATGTTTTAGCACCTATATTTTGGTACTACAACTAAGTCTGTAACAGTAACAGGGTGAATCACTGTCTGTGACTGTCTTCACAGTTCCACAGCATCTTCAGTATTGTATTTTATTACAGGTATCCTCACAGCAAGAGGACAGGTTGTGAAAGTGCTGCCCCCTAATCCATTAGATGGTCAGCCTGCCACTGTGGAAATCCATAATATACAGGACGTGGTTAGTTCGGATGAGACTGTAAGAGAATTACAAGATTTTCCAGGGCCACTCATTAGGTAATGCTCTTGCAGATTCATTTAAAAAAAGTGATCAGTTGAAAAGTTACATTGATTAACATTCAGTTCTGTACCTTGCTATCATTATTTGCTGGTGAAAATTAAATGCAAAGCATCACGAATAATATGTTGTGTATATTCCAGTTAATAAATGACAGGCTTTGGGCAGGATAGCTCAGGTCCATATCTGAGTTGAGGGACTTTGGCTTTTTCTGTTTACCATTCTTGGGACACATTGGGCTTCATATCCAATGGGTGGTAGGTTTTTATCCCCTGGTGTTTGAAGCTGGCCACTTGCCTCTATCTATACCCTCTCTCACATAGTCTGAGAGAAGAGTTAACAACTTATTGGGGGAGGATAGATCAGATATAATGGCATAGGGTAAAATTTGTCTTTATGTTATTTTTGTTAATTGTAATTGTATGTTTGAAAATTTGAGAACACTGTTATGTATTAGTCTGCTTTGTATGTTTGGTTCAAGTAGCACTGATGTACGAGGGTCATACTGAAAGTCATGAGCAACAATTTTTTGTAAAGTAACATGCTTTATTATTGGCAAACCAAATACACCACCTCAATCTACAGACCTTTCTTTATTTTTCCACATAATTGCCACTTCTTTGTACACATTTCTTCCAGCATTCTGGGAGTTTGAAAATTCCCCTTTTGTAAAATTCCATTCCAGCCATCCGAAGACATTGACGCACTGCTGTCTGAATTGCCTCCCCTGTCTCAAAACATTGTCCACGTAGCTGATCCTTCACAAATCCAAAAAGATGGTAGTCGGACGGTGCCAGATCAGGGCTATAGGAGGGGTGTGGAAGAACTTCCCACCCCATCTTTGCAATTGCTTCTAATGTGAGGCGAGCGTTGTCATGCAGGATGATGATGTTTCGTCCCGGACATTTATCAGGCAATGCACGATGGAGCTTGTGCAGCATCTGGATATAGCGAGCAGCATTGATGGTTTGCCCAGGTTCCAGGAATTCAGCCAGAATAAACCCCTCTGCATCCAAGAAGACTTTGCCCATCACCTTCACAGCTGATGGCACTGTCTTTGCCTTCTTTTTTGATGGAGAATGCAAATGGTGCCATTCCATACTCTGCCGTTTTGTTTCAGGCTCGAAATGGTGAAACCAGCTTTTGTCAACTGTCACAATACAGAGCAAAAAATCATCGCCTTCATGTCGATATGACTTTTCGCTGGCTTTTGTGGTCTTTGGTCAATAACCGCGGGACCCAACGAGCACAAACTTTCCTATAGCCCAAGCTTTCAGTCATCTCCTGTACTGCACTGTGCCCTATTCCAAGTTTTAGGGCTATTGTGTCCACAGTCACATGCCTGTCAACTTGAATGATCTCATCCACTGTTTCCTTGTTGCGTTCAGTTGAGGCTGTTCGAGGATGACCGCCCCGAGGCTCATCTTCGATGCTGGTGTTCCCATCTTTAAAATGTTTCACCCATCTTCAAACACTGCTTGCACCCATGCACACACTTCCATAAGCACGCTGAAGTCTGGTGAATTTCTGCAGCAGGGATTTCCTCTTTCACAAGTAATTCGATGACAGCACGCTGGTGAAACGACATCGTTGTCTGCCATTTTGTTAGGAGTGATCGGAGTGATACTGGTCATGTGATGCAAGCTGTTGATGTCACAAGACACTCAAGGGTAACAAAACAGCTGGTTCCACCTACCACCATACTCTCTTTCGTCTGCTGTTCCCTGGTTGCATGCAAAAGAAAGTGCTCATGTCTTTCGGTACGACCTACGTATTATACCATTTTCATGAACAGCAGTGATATTTCTTGCAGGGGAGTTACACACAAGAACTCTGTAATCACATATTGCATGAGAAAACTGAAGAAAGCTGAGAGCGATCCTGAGCTGTTTGATCGTGAATCGGTTATTCTTTTGTGGAAATTGCTTATACTTCTTCTAAGACAAAATGGGGTAAGCAGTCCTCTTGAGAGGAACATAGCAATGCATGTGGCTTCCAGTAATTAATTATCTGAGTGATATTTGCAGAACTTGAAGATTGTGTTACAGTAATCTTGATGCTGTAGTTCACAAATTCCTCCATTGAACAGTTTCCGAATGACATCTGTAGTAGAATAGGGAGTGATGCTAATGAACACAAGATACTTCAGTTTTTGTAGGACAGATGTTTAAAGAATTAAGCAAGTTCCATGTAACATGATATGAAAGTGAAGCAGGAACTTGGTATGAGTCAAGAGAATTTTGGCCCTGTAGAAGTTGTATATGTATACACGTGTCAACAAGAAGTGTGTGTTATTTCTGTGAAGAGCCATTTACAGTGGAACCCACATTTCTCACTTTAAGGTTTTCCCTCACTAATGTTCGGTTTCAGTGATCCCAGTTGAATAATTTCAATGTTAAATTGCTTCTACTGAAGATTTTCATCGGTTTTTTGTTCATATCCACTGCTGTCAAAAGAAACCTTGAAGGAGACTTCACCGTAACACATTGTGGTATATAATTAATTAACGGGTTCAATGAAGTCATTTCAATGCCAAATTCAGTCACCTTATACAGATACCAGTCTAAGCCTTCATTTTTAATATATCAGTTAATGCTTTCTTTGTATCAGTTCTAACCTTATACATAGTTGTGTTTACTAACCGTTCAGCGTGGTTTGACGTGTATGTTTCGTCAAGGTATTTAAATCGTCTGGGGGGGGGGGGGNTATTATAAAGCAAGGTTATAAAACCACCTTTTAAGATCATTTTAGTGAAAGTTTCATGTTCCTATCTCATAGAATTTAAGAACAATGATGAATAAATCATTTTCGAGCAAAATTTAAATGGACGGCTGAATATATTACCGCCGGAGAGACACGACAGCGGAATTTAAATCACCGCGCGAAAGGGCTAAACCATATAGTGCACTCATTATATTACCAGCATGGAAAGATTGTGTTCTCATGACATGGGATCAGCCCACAGCAGACACAAAACAGCATGTGTTGAATAATATAGGCAGTGTGAGCCTCACTGTGGATTAAATAAACCTTTCAGTGAAATTCAATGGATTAAGATTTGGGCAGTGACCATTGAAACCTACTGGCAATTGAAATTTCAGCAGATGATACTGTTGTTTTGTCACCAGTAAAAAATGTTGGGACTGCAGTGTTAGCTCTCAGACACAGAAGGAAAAGAGAAACGAAATACTATAACATTCTAAGCAGCCTTTGTTTTAAGCCTTCCTGACTGAAGACATTTGAAATAAATACATTTATTTAATTAAGAAACTTGAACTTGAAATATTTGTATATTATGTCTTCCACTTTAATGGAACTCTAATGCCTGAATTTATATACAGTTGTTGCAGTGTTGGCTCCCATATATTCTGTAAACCTAGGCAATTGATTATGGTTGAAGAAAAAATTTTATAATTCTATTTAGGGTCTTACATTTATGGTTAACTAGTTGTAAATTCCAGTTCTTTGTAATTGTAGTGTGAATTTCCATTTCATGATGTCTGATTTTTGAGTTAATATATATTAATATGTTCACCTGATTTCACAGGTGTAATTAAATGCTGCTTAATTACATTTGTAAGAATTGTAAATATAAATTTACTCCGTGATGGGCTTGCCCTTTTGAGACATTTTATTTTATACTGCTGCTTTAATAATGGTTGTAACATGCAGTGAAACCACATTAGAGTGGGTATGGTTTATAATGAGGACTTCATTGTAGTGACATAAACTACTGGAACCATCAGTTTCTTCAAATTACCAAGTGTGGAAAGCCATTGTATAAAAGGAGAGTCTTTTCCTCTGCACCATCATAACAAGGAATTTGTAACTAGCCACCACTGTTTTCCCATAACTTTTTGGACCAACTGTACTCACAGTTTCCCTTCTAAAGGTAATTATGGCTAGCAGTCTGTAAAGGTCCCATTAACTCACCCTCTCTGTCCTACTTTTCACTGGGAGGAAGTTCAAATTCCAGAATGTGATAGCAGCTTATCCCCACCAAGTTTCAAACCCTCAGAAATGTACATCATGTGATGTCTTCAGAATTTTTTCCTCAGACCAGTAGCTCGTTTTATTGCTTCTCCTATTGCTTAGCTTGTTTACAGAGGCACCATGCAGTATCTGTCCCTTCTTGTCACAGGTTTCCAGTTCCTCAGAGCTTCCACTTTCCTTGGATATAGAAATCACAGAATGAAACTACATGTGCCTATGTTTAAGGTTTTGTCCTATATCAAATTCATTTTGATTTTTGTTGACACTCGCTATGACTTTCCTGCACCTGAAACATTTCACGCTGTCATGAACACAAATTTAGTGAATTTAAATGCCATGTGAAAACTTTCCGTAATATTGCCTCTTTTTGTCATGAGTGTGTATTGGTGAGAGTCATTTTGCGATCTTGGTTTGTGATTGTAGTGGACTTAATGAGAATACCTGTGCTACCAGTGTAACAAAATGGGCTGGGAAGTGGGATGTTACAGAGCGTACCCATGTATGTAATAGTTATTTTCATTATGAGTGTGAAAATGTACTTAAGCTTAATTTTATTGTTAAAATATTAAAAATTTATGTGTTAATGTATGGTTTACACACCATTACCAAAACATATGTTTTACAGTTAAGCAGGTAGGTATAATGGCTATTTCACAACCATCTCTTACATGTGTAACATCAGAAAGCTGCATGTATTCCAGTTACGACAGTAAGAACAACTCATAGCATCAGGTATCAGTGAAGTTTAAAGTGCATCATGTGTTGGTTTGTTACTTCAGTTTAACAGGAATCAGTGCACTTATTCTCACAGCATTTATTATATATGAAACATCAGAAAGTCGTGTGTATTTCAGTTGTTGTGTTTGGAATAACCAATAACATAATGCTCATATGTCAAGTAACAGTGAGATTTAAAATGCATCATGTTCTGGTCTGTTACTTCAGTTCCGTATGGATCAACGTGCTTATTCTCACAACCATTTATTACATATGTAACATTAAGAAGTTGCATTTCAGTAATGGTGTTTAGAACAACCCATAATAATACACATATGTGAAGTATAAGTATTTGAACCACATTCTGTGTTGTTTTGTTACTCCAGTTCAGTATGAGTTTACTAGTTTATTCTGGCATGTATGCATTTGCAGTGACTTGTGAGTGGACAAGACTTTTGCTTCTAAAGCACTGCATCTGATTAGCAGTTGATTGCAAGTGGAAGAGGTTATGCAAGTTTAAGAAAATCTTTAACTCGTCAGTTATGGTGGTGCTAATGATGATGAGAATGTTGAATTATTCTTCATTATTTTTTTATCCTCATTATAGCCACTTCAAAGAAGAAGATAAAATTGTTGCACCCACATTATAATTGAAACCTTAATGCCATATTGTCTTACATGTAAATTGGACATTTTGGGACAGACTTTTCCTTATGTACAATATTTCAATAATTTTCAGATATTATGAGTATCAGTTAAAATGAGTTTTTATATGTATATAAACTTTTGTGATGTTGATGTTGCACTGTAGTGGAAAATTAAGCACAAAATGACTTTAGCCTTAAATATTTGTTTACTCAAGTAGATCATATTATTTGTTACACCTGAGACCACTCTTATGCAATCTGTAGTTTAGTATTTTAACAATATTTTAATATTTTTTAGGCAGTTGTTGGAGCAGATATTGCTGGACTTCTGCTGTCAAAGTCAGGTAATCAGGAGACTGTTAACTTCAGCACTGTGACATCTGCTGTCCGCCAGTCAGCACCATCACCTGCTGTGTCCCAGCATAGCAGCATTCATGATGTGCAGGCTGATGAACCAAACCTGCATCAGGCTTCACATAAGTCAGAAGAAGAACTGGTGATTGAATTCACAGAATATTTACTGTATGGCAACAAGAGAGAAGCCTTAGGTTGGTGTAATTTTAATTAAAAGTACTTTCACATTGTAAAATTTATTAATAACATTCTTATATATTTATAATATTTTACTGTTTGAGCAACACTAACATTTTGTTTGTTATTTCATTTTTCATTCCTTACTTATCTAACAGATTTAGTTTTATTTTGTCGATGCAGTGTAATGGGTATTCCGTATCAAGTGTTGAGAACTATCGGTGTATTCAGGGTTACTACTTGCATGCATAAAAAAAGGTGAAGTTGTCTCTGTGCTTAGCTAACCAAGCACTATGCCATGAAGACGTACGGGGGAATGGATGTATAGACCCGTGTTTTGTTGAACTTAGCACTAGTTGGAGGTGAGTGATCAGCTTCATGCCCCGGTTGCTTTACCGCCAAAGAATGGGTCTCTGGTACCCATTGGATCAGACTGGGTGGGCCCCAGAGCCAGTCAGGACGACATGGAAAAGTGAAAATTCTTGACCCTACTGGGACTGAGAACTCTGACCCCTCAGTCATCCAGCCCATAGCCAGTCACTATACCAACTGCACTATCCTGGCTATACTTTATGATGTAGAAGATATAATTAAGTACAACTGTTTCAAAGAAAGCTTTAGAGAGATTATATATATATATAATATGATGAAATAAATTGGTATGCATACTGATATATTTGACCTGTTTTAGGCTGCTTAACTTATATTGTGATTAAGTAAGATGGAATTCCCATTTATTGCACCTTAATTTATTGTTTTCCTCCATTTGTCATTTAATTTCTCTTATCCAAAACCAATAATCTGCGTTAAATTTTGTGTCTTTAAAATTTTCCTCAGTTTACTGTTCAGATCCACTTATCCCCAAAGAAACATAAATGATATCTCTATTTTTGTTTTTTCAGAATTGGCCGTGAAACATGGACTCTGGGGCCATGCTATATTCTTGGCTTCTAAGATGGACCAGAGAACATATGCCAATGTAATGATGCGCTTTGTTGATGGACTTGCCATGAATAATCCATTGCAAACTTTACATCAGTTGATGTCAGGACACCAGCCAGCTGCTGTTACAGTATGTACTTTCTTTAGTGAAGTGAGATATTCTTGACATGAAATAGCAAGACGCCTCTAATTCCATGCGTGAAATGCCTGTTCTGGTGTCGTATTTCTCATATGCCATCCCTGTAGTACAGCAAGTTGTGCCTTGTGACCATCAGCCCAGCTTTCCTCAAGTTTCTTGACTAATTAGCCTATACTTTCACTTCAAGTATATACTGCAATTGTTGCATACTGCAGTTATCTAAACAACTGCCTGTGTAATTTGGCGGTGCTCAATATGAAGATATATATTATTTCCTGTAGGTTGACCAAAAAGTAGAATTGTATGCTAGAATAGTGGTTAGAATGTTGATAGAGAAATCTGGTTTTGGATGAACAGTATAATACAAGCAATGAAGTGTTTTGTTAAACTAGTGCCTTATGCATGTTATCTGATCAATTACAGATAAAAAATTGAAGAACCATGTTAATAGGCCTCTCATAAAGATTTTAAGTCCCAACAGGAACATTATATTGAATTGCATATTGTGAAGTAAGAGTTCTTTTTAAATCTCAAGTAATATTTCCCAGGTAACCATAAGCAAAAGAACTCTGACATTGACCCTTTCCTTGTATATTTTGCCATTTAAGTATCTTTCCAAAACCATTATTGAATTAAAATCAAGGAAGATAAAATGAGTGGGACTTATATCATACATGGGAGAGATAAGAAATGCATACATAATTTTGATAAAGAAACTTGGAATTAAAAGATCAGTTAGGAAGGTAATATAATTTTGGTTGGAAAACTTGAAATGCAGAGCTCATTTGTGGTACCTAGGAGGATAATATTAAAATGGTCCCTGAAGAAATAGGATTTGAGAGAGTGAACTGGATTGAGCTGGCTCACAGTGGAGTCCAGTGATGGGCTCTTGTGATTGTGGTAAATGACTGTCTACCTGGCGTTTACTCTACTCTGTGAAGCTAGACCATATCCTCCACCCCTTAAAGAACTGTTCAGGAGGTTAATGTACCATTATTAAATGAACCAGTGGTAGCAAAACTTGGAACAGGATGCAGATTTATTTCTTACAGTTCTGAATATTAATTTCATAGCTGTTCTGAATTGAACCTGGCTGCCTTTTGTATGTCCTTTTGTATGAGGTGTTTACCAGAGGAAAATTCTGTTGCCTGTGTGCTTGTGGTTCTAATTTTCTTCTGTAATGTATGTCATTTCAGTGTTGTGCAGATGAGAAGTGGGGAGATTGGAAGCCCCATCTTGCTATGATCCTATCAAACCCATCCCAGAGACCAGATCTAGACCAGAAAGCAGTTGTTACTCTTGGAGATACCCTGCGTAAGTGGAAGTTTTAGTTTAATTTACATGAAGGCTATAAAGTGTAAAGAGAAGTAAAGTCAACAGTAGTCACACTTGTGAAGTAACTGATCATTTCCAATGTTTAATCTGTCTGTCAATTTTATGATAACTTTAACAGAGATGCAGATGGGACAGCTGTCTGTTTGGGGTAGATTGTTTATAATTTAAGAAAAAAGTAGAAATAATGAAATTCATGTGTAAGATATCACAAACAAATGTATTTGTTGAAAATGTTTCACATTTCCAAGCATATAGAGAATGCATAGTGAAATTCCTGAATAAAATGTGTATTTATGTAAAAATTATAACAGTTGAACCTGGAATTTTTTGTTTATTGCCAGAAAGATCATGGAGGATACTGTCAGATATCTGAAGTAATGTTGAAAGTTCTGACTTCGGGTTTGAATTTATTTCATGTTGATGATAAAGGCTTAATTCTCTAAAGGTGTATTTTACAAAAGTTTGAAGTCTTGGATCATAAATTCAGTATTATTTACAAACAAGAAGTTCTGGGAAGAACTCATGATGCCTACTTTTCTTTTAGTGGTTTAGTTTATAATATTGGAGAAATAGGAGCTGTAAGTTACTACTGTCACGATTTTAGTGACTACAGATGGGGTTTGGTTTCGTAATCAGATTTATTGAATGCTTACAGCCTGTAACAACAAGTAAGGATTATGCTCTCGCTATTCTGTGTACTTCATAAATCACAATGGAACACACTAGGTCTTCTCAGTCTGTTAAGTCTTCACTAGCTGCAGCTTGGTAGCAGCTTCCAATGGTGGATGTTCCCCTTCTTCTGGTTTCCCAAACTGTACCTGGCCTCAGCTACCAGCTTCTAGCAGCAACAGCTCACAATGACTGAACCCCAGCAAATATCTAACTCTAATTTATCAACCAACTGACTGACTCCCCACTAACTGCAGCTGCTAATGGGCCCTGCTTATAACATCTTGGCACAGACTGCATAGAAAACACTCTTCCTTTGTTGCAATGGAACTGTTGCCATGGAAACATACTTGTTTGCTGAGCTGTTACTTAGCAGTGACTGTTGTATAGTTGCTTATTTTGTGGTAATTGCCTAGCAATGGGTCTAAGTGCCATGATACGTACACAGTTTGGTTGTACATTTTGTGTATAATTTTTTACCAGTAGACTGTGCCAAATTTCTGAAGTACATTTTCAGAATTTATGAGTTTGTAGTTATTGGCACATCAGATCTGCCTCCATCAGTATTAGTTGTCACAATTGACAAGAAGCTGAGTTCCTGATACTCCTTTTCATGGAACTTCAAATTCCTGGGAATAAAATATGTAAAGAGGGACTTAAATATAGAATTTGTGTTGCTTCCATGTTGTGTTACATTCACCAAAACTATTTCTGTAACAAAAGTTGCATTTTTTTAAGGTATTTTTTCATTTTAAGAACTAGAAGTCATTCTTGTATATGTAGACTGCCTGGTACTGAACATTAGCGTATCAGTCTTAGTGATGACTTGAAAACATGTTGTTCTAGCTTGTCTTTTGGTTTTTGTTTTTCATATTATTAGCATTTGATAACATTTAGTGCCCTTTATTATAATGAAATTTAATTACATGGAATAAACTTGGACATTTCATTGTATGTTATGCTTCCTGTAAATTCCCTGTAATTCACATTTAAATTCTGGCATTAGTAACTCTTATTAGGCAAAACCAAATGTCAATTATGTAGACTAAAATGTCAATGAAAAACTGATGTTCCTTTATTATATTTGCAGGTGCACGAGGATGTCTCCATGCATCTCATTTTTGCTATTTGATGGCTCAGTTAGAGTTTGGGTTGTTTAGCCGTAAATCGTCAAAAATTGTATTGCTTGGCTCGTCACATTTGAAGCCTTTTGTAGAGTTTGCAACAAATGAAGCTATACAGATGACAGAGATTTACATATATGGTCGCCAGTTGGCAGAACATGAATTTAATGTTCCACAGTTCCAGGTACTAGTTCATTCATTATCTTGCAAAATTAATTAAATATGAAATAATCTTGAAATGTTAATTTTCCACGTAATGTGTGGCACAGTTTTCCGTTTGATTGTGGTAATGAGATTCACGTCATCTTTTGCTCCACAGGCCTACAAGTATTTATATGCAACACGACTTGCAGAATTTGGAATGCTGACTGAGGCAGTCCATTATGTTGAAGTGATAGCTGGATCTGTCCTTGAGCAGCCTACTAGTTACAGTGGAAGTTTTGCAAAGGAGATTTATGACCTAGGGGATCAGCTCAAATACTGTGATCCATTGTACAGTAGCAGAGAAGGCGAGACAGTAGAATTGGCAGACCCATCATGGTTACGTGGCCTACACAATGTAATTTACAATTACAATGTGAGTACATTATACATAAAGCAACAATTTAACCTCTCATACCTGTCTTTTGTACAGAAATATGAAGTAACTTGTAAGAATGTACAAATGAATAATTTGTACAGTATGATGCATACCATGAAGGTTGCAAATGAGTAATTGTCTATTCATGCTGAGCTGAAGCCACCTAAAGCCTGCAGGCTTGAGGTGAGAATCTCCATCTTTATTCCACGAAGAATGTTTCGTGATGTCTAGTGATAGCAATTATTTTTGGGGAACACTTACCAATGCTCCTAGAAGTGCTTGAGGGTGTGATATTTCTGGAAACATTCCCCTTTGTGAAGTGGCATTACACAGAACTTGCAAATGTAGACACTCCTTTTTTTGTGAACTGTGCAAACACGGCATTGCCTAGAAGGATGCTTCCCCTTGGAATGTTCACTCTTCACAATTTTCACGAGGGTGTATTTCTGCATATCGCCCGAGAGTCGCCCTGGGGGGTCCACATGAGGCCTGCATGGGGTGGGAGTTGATGGGCCTGGTCGTACTAAGTCTGTGTCTGACTCTGGTTCTGCCACCATCTGGTCTGTAGCCTAGGCCTTTGCCACATTAATCAGAAATGCTTTGTATTTCAATTTTGAATTGGTTTAGATTTTTTACTGTCCCCGCAATATTATTACCCCCATTATCATCGGAGCTACTGTCACTCTTACTGTCTGTGGCCACAATTCTTTGTTCTCCCCTGTCACTGCCGCTCTCTGAATCACCATTACTATGTGTCTCACAAGCCAGGTCAGCTAGCTCATCGGAGAAGAATTTGTCCTTGTCCATACCCCACCACTAACTACTAGCTGGTACATACAGCTCGAGGAGCAGCAAAGCATTTTCGTTTATAGTGCGTTAAGAAAACAACGAGGTCAAGTTACTGACAAGTAAGCAAACATTCCAGAGTTTTATTACGCCATTGCGTGCAAGTTGGGTGACACCAGGGCGAGGTATAGTGTGTTGCAACCTAACGTGTCCTAAAATCATGATATCATGCGACCGGTCCTCAGTGTGTTAAGATCCATTTTAATATTGTCCTGCCTTCTACATATAGGTCTCCTAAATGGTCTTCTCTTGCAGTTTTCTGCTTAAAAGTTTGTGTATCTCATTTGTCCTGTGCATGCTGCATCTCCCAATTCAGCCTCCTTTGTCACCCTCCTACTGCAGCTGTCTAATGTAATGAGTACAGCTCATAATGGGATTGTATTTCTGTAAGCATTTTTTTTGCATTGTTAAGGTAGCACCATTCTTCAATTTATAAGACTGAATTTCAGAACTTTCCACTAACTGTTTCACATTCATTAATCACCCTCTCACTGATGCTAATAATCTCAGCACTGATAGCATTATTAAAGAACCTGTTCAAAAATAGTAACTCCACTGTGACAAGCATTTCTCTCTTTTTCTAAGCCTGCATAAACATGTATTTAGCAGTGGTGGAGCACCAGGAACTGATTTCATTCTCCTGTTTCAATTCTGTTCATATAGAACAGTTGTGAACACGTGTTACATGGTCTGACACTAAAGTTCGCAAACTCCTCGCATTAAAAGTGCTACATACCTCATTGCTGAATATCACTGTGGTCGCCTTCAAAGTAGTCCCCTTGGGAAGCTATGCACCGATGCCAACACTTAGTCCACCCTTAAAAATAAATTTTGGAAGTGGTTTTGTGGAATGGCCTTCAGAGCTGCCGTCATGTTACTCCTGATATCATCATCATCATCAAAATGCCTTCCTTTCAGTATTTGCTTTTTCTTTGGTAACAGAAAAAAAGTCATTGGGGGCTAGATCTGGTGAATATGGAGTGTGTTCCAGCACAGTTATTTGTTTACTAGCTAAAAACTCCCTTGCAGTCACTGTTCTTCGGTGAGCTCCTGTGGAACCATTTTTGCACACTCTTTCCTCATGTCAAGATCGTCAGTTAAGATTTTCCTAACTCTTTCTATGTCGATGTTTGCTTGCTCTGCTGTGCTTCTGAAAGTCAGCCGATGATATTCATATGCAATTTGACGAACTTTTGCAACGTTTTCTTCAGTCCCGCTTATAGCTGGCTGTCCTGATCTCTCTTCGTCAATGACACTTTCTCTTCCCTCAAAATAATGTGTCACCTACTTGTAAATGCTATTTTCTTCATAGCATTATCCCCATAAACATGCACTAATATTTCTCAGATTTCGCTTCCACTCTTGCCAAGTTTAACAAGAAATTTAATGTTCATTTATTGCTGTAATTCAAGTTCCAACATTCTCATGATGGCACGCCAACATTGATGTGCCAACATCATCAAATCATACTGAGATTTCTGTCCACCGCTGCCGTGGCAAGCACATGGTGGCGAGTTTGTGAACTTTATTGTCAGACCTCATATATCATTAGAATCTATTGTATATAATAAAACCACTGCATGGTGAAATTATGGGGGCACAAATTTGCTTTGCTCCTCATAAGATAGTAGAATGTAGTAAAACTAAAAGGGCCCTGCATCTTCTAACATAGCAAAACTGAGTAAAATATAATTTAAAATTTGAGGGCCGCTGGCACCACATTAATGATTTGAATATAATTGGCATAGAGTATTTCATAAAGTGATTTGCTGTGTGACACCAGAACGGTAAATTATAGGACATTCAACAGAAATGAATGTGTATGTGCTCACACCCATGTGTTTTTTACAGTAACTTATATTAGTATTTCAGTACAGGTTTTTTAATAACAAAAACTTGGATTAAGAATGGGCACTTTTCCTGGTTGTATATAAAGAATGTGGTGCATTTCTGTTGCCCCTCTCATGCACATGCTAGTTGTCTTATCATTGAAACCTAACCAGTACTAGTTGTGAATTGTAGTGCCTGTCTTCTTATCTAGCAAGCATAAGTCATTACATTTGCTTTTGATTTGATTTGACTCATGACTTTATTTTGGTGGTGTCATTCTCTTTCAAATATAAATATTTTACACATTCTGAAATTATGTAATTTGATTGTAAATGGAAGAGGGATGGAAATTGTTAATATTGAACAGGCGTTGAAACTGATAAACTTTGTCACTTCCGCTGGTTAAGTGCTTTTTGCTTATTTTGAGGTCTTAAGTGATTTCTTTCAACTATATAATGTAGGGTCAGTTTGTTTCATCAGAAAAATTTTGAATTGTTCTAATTCTTGTACATTTGACAGATTGGCCTAATTCAGCAGGACATTCCAAGCTATGGCTCAGCTTCAAATTTGAGCTGCTCAGAAAGTGAACCTATGCAACATGGCACAGCAACAACTGATAGCATGCAGGTATGAAGTATAATGAATAAAATGGTAAGGAGCTTATTCCTACTTCTGTCAGTTAATACTCATTGATGGTTGCAGGATCAATTGGCACCTGGCATTGACTTGCAGCAGCAACAGCAGGAATCTCTGTACTGTCAGGATCAGCAGACCCAGCACTGGCCAGTTCAGCATGGAGCAGAAACAACAAGTTGTAATGGTGAGCTGTAGTTATTTGAAGGTGGACGGAGCATTAAGGATGCTCAAAACTTTTTGACGCAATGGTCATTTAAGATGATAATAAAAATATATGGTCACTTATGATTATAGCTATTGATGCCGATAGGATTAGGTCATAGATAAACACTCAGAAGTCTTTATTAACATTTTAAAGGGGAAGCACAATAGATCACTATAGGTCATGGTGCAAGGGCCAAGAAGGCGAACCCCTTATACATTCATTCATTCTTTCATTCATTATTAACATTTTACAATCATAAGAAATGTGTCTGGAGCAGAGAGGAATGCTCTAACAGGAATGAGAGAAGAGTTACGGCCTGATGGAGGCCAGGAGTATGGCAACAGAGCTTGCAGAGGATGAGCAATAAATGGAATGTATTCCATGTACAGGCATTCACAATAGCTATGCAGTCTAAGACATGAACTGTCTTCGCTCGCTCGAACACTGGGATCATGGGTTTGAATCCCAGTCAAGGGATGGTTGTATGTCTGCATTTATTCTGTGTTCGTGTTGTCCTGTGTAGGTAGTGGCCTTGCGATGGGCTGATCCCCTGTCCAAGGAGTCCTACTGACTGTGTTATGACAAGAAACTGAAGTGAAACAAAGAGAGAGATTCAATGTGCAGAGAGTCAAGAGATGCTAATCACACCATTTTGGGTTGTGGGAAAACTGCATACTGGGGGGACTAAAAATTGTGCAACATAACTGAACTATCACAAATTGTCATTAGGAAAATGGTTAATTTTAATAATAGTTTCTTCCTCAGAGATCCAGGAAATTTCCTGCCAAAGGTAAGAAGAATGATGATAAGCACAGGGTGGATGAGTAAAATCTGTGTGTCAAAGCTTTATCAGTGGAATGCAGAACTGATTAAGAGCAGGTCATCCCCCCCCNACAAAAACAGGTTATGCTGGAGAATGTGTTATACTCGACCCACAGTTCAGTTTAGTTCTGCAAAGCAAGATAATTAATATTAAATGAAATGTATTAGTGAAAAGTCTTTTATAAATTTAACCATATTCAAAACAGTTCTACAAAAACAAAACCAACAAATTCCATGATTTTAGTCTGCAAGTGAACTATACTGACTGAGCAACTGCTGCTTGTTGGTGAAGTTTAGTGCCAACTTTTGTGGATAGAGGATGTCACGTGGTCAGCACAACGCATCCCCACGGCTGTTAATTTCGGTTTTCTCGTCTGGAGCCACTGTTTCCTTGAAATAGCTCCTCAATTGTCATCATGAGGCTGAGTGGACCCCGTTCCAGACCCACTTCTCACAAGAAATCTGGTAGTACTGGGAATCGATCCTGGACCTCTGGATCTGTAGCCAGGAACACTGATCACTGGACCACAGAGGCAGTCCAAAACAATTCTACATGAAGAAAAATCTTCCAAATTTGAAACTTGGTAGTTTTTTGTCCCAGTGTTCATAAGCTTTACAAACTATTTCAGACTGAAAAGGCCATTTATACATGTGTCTAATTAAAGGAATTGTGGGGAGTATAGACAATGGAGCTGCAAACTGACCATGGCAGGCATGTTACTAAATTGCCCATCTATGTTGTGGTTTTGCTGAATAAATTAATGGCATGGGGCCCTGCAGTTCATTGTATATCAGAAATGTTGAATTTAATGCTGCTACTGCTTGTGTATTCTTCTCAGTACATCAGCAGCAAGCAGAATCTTCAGGAGATATGGGGAGAAACTTTCAGAATCGTGATCAGTATTGGGCAGACTCTCAGTGGGGAGCAGGTGCATTGAGCACTACACAAGATCAAGAAAGAAATGAACTTGAGTTGATCTCTGCGGGACGTGGTTATGGCAACAGTGAGACCCAGGTAGCAGGGAATGTTGCTGGCCAGCAGCCATTTAGTTACTGGAATATGTCAGCCAATCACACACAGGTAAGAGAGTTGACTCTTTCATGTGCCTGTTTTTAGATTATAATATGAGCATGGTAAGTTATGAATAGTGGATTTCTTATTAACAGTTAATTATTGGTTTAATATATGTGTTTGATTGTGAAGGAGATTGTTGAAGTTGCAGAATAAAGGTTTGTTATTGTAGTAGCTGATTCATCTGCACTTGTTATAATTAACTGCAAAGAATACAGAGACTGATTCTCTTTGTGCATGCATTCTTCGGATTACTGTTCTGTAACAAAATAGCATTAACTCTGAGTGCATTCTGTATTGGAGTTATGCAACACTTGCTGCAAGGACTGATTCACAGTTTGTGTGTATCTCCACTCTAGAGCTCTTGTAAGTTGGGAGCATACTGTCACCCAGTGACATACTAGCATTCTGGTGATTGGCTGAGATTGAGTCCAGAAGCTCCATAAACTAAATCTTTCCACTTAGAATACCGACATTTGTTTATGTCTCCAATAATAATAATAACAGGTTTTGGATGAGATGATTGAATTTATTAACACCTTCTTTTACAGTCGACCACCTCTGTGGTCTAGTGGTCAGAGTTGCCAGCTCCAAATCCAGAGGTCCTGGGTTCGATTCCCGGCGCTACCAGAGTTTCTGAGTAGTAGTGGGTCTGGAACGGTGTCCCCTCAGCCTCGTGAGGATAATTGAGAAGTTACTTGAATGGAAAAGTAGCGGCTCCGGTCTAGAAAACAGAAATTAACGGCTGTGGGGATTCATTGTGCTGACCATGCGACACCCTCTATCTGCTGAAGTTGGCACCGATTTTGCCGACAAGCAGTGGTCGCTCAGTCGGTATAGTTCGCTTGTGGACTAAAGCCACAAGGTTCTTTTTTTTTCTTCTTTCTCTTACAGTCTTTCTTAATCACAGTCAATTACAGTAACTCACAATAAGTGACTGCTTAGGACCCGCTCGGTTCTGACTGGACTGTGGCTGTGTTGTCTTTTAGTCTGTCTTTTACTGTCCTCACCTAGGCGCCATGCCATAGCTCAAGCGGTTAGTCGCTGGCTTCCCAATGTGGCGGCCCGGGTTCGATCCCAGGTCTGGTCAAGTGGGATTTCTGGTGGACAAAGTGACGCTGGGGCAGGTTTTCTCCGAGTACTTCAGTATCCCCTTCCAATCTACATTCCACCAAATTCTCCATCATCATAATCACCCAGGGCAGGCTACAATAGGCCAATCAGTAGCCGTCGTGCCAAGTGGACCCAGTTGGACTCCAACCCCCACTAAGCGAATTAATTAATTACTGTCCTCTCCTGGCTTCTGTCTTCTACTGTGACTGACTTGGTTCAGATCTGAAGGCTGCTTGTATTGCATATTGGTATCCAAGGAAATGTTTGTGAATCACTCGTTTATGTGGAAATATGTTCTATACTGAGTTGATTTCAAAGAATCTATCTCCATGGAAATGTGTTTGTCATTGCTTTCCCTAGCAATGGGTCTACATGTCACAATATTTTAATAATTTTAAAAATTTAAATTTTAATATTTAATACATTTTAGAACATAAGGGCATTACATACACAACATACCTGTACAACACACTCCCAGTGTGTAAACATTGACTGCTTTAGACAGATAGAAGACAGCAGATAGAAAGAAGGGTGAATGTAAAAGCTGTATGTACCTTATGATGGCTGCAATAGATCGAAACATGTGGTATCTGCAAATGCATGTTGTGTTTATACCAGAATTGTGTCGGCTGAATAAACATAAATCTTTCTCACATACTTTTTTCTGTAACTTAATACTGGTATATACCCCCAGAGTTCTGTGTTGTTGGTACTATTTTGTCAGGAACCATAGGTTTGAGTCCAGAGTCTAAGATTGTAACTGCTCTAGGAACCTGGAATACCAGATTTTTGTGCTTCTAACAGAAAGAGCACTGTTCTGTTTGGATATTTTTGGATATGCTGGGTTTCACTCCATACTTTGTGATGTTTTTTTAACAAGTGTGTGGGATTTTATTTCTATAGATCATAATTGTCCACAAGGATTAATGAATTTTACACGCAGAGGTGATTGGTATGTGTGCCTTAGAACTGTCAGTGATGCATAACTGTAATAACTTTAATGGAATTTAAGGCGAGATTGAGAGCATGACATAAGACCTGAAGCAAAGTTTAGCACAGTTTCTTAATATGTCTGAAGTCCATAGAATTCTTATGCTAGATGTGTGGAATTTAGAATGTGGGGATTAATGGGCATGGATCAGGAAGATTTTGTAGGATACTGTGATATAAGTAAGCAGTAAATATAGATGTTTTCATTAGTTACTCGTGCTTATAAATAACTGATATCATTAACGTTTATCATTTTGACTTTTGAATGCTCAGAGCAGATCTGGTAGCTGTATATTTTCACATAATGTATATAATCTCTGCCACATTTGGGATTCATATTCACACGTGGCACTAAAAAAATGTGAATCTTTATGAAACTGTTTGTGGTAGAATATTCCTGTAAAAAGTTGATGAAAAAAGACTGGTTCACATATAAAGTAGTGCTCTCATTCTGCGTGTAAATGAATCGTGTAACCTTTCCTGGTGTTATCTGCTGATTATACTAATTCTGATATGATAGGAATCTTGGTAGTTGGTCAGAAGATGAATTGGAAGTAAGTTATTGCTGGTCTAGTTCAGGGACATATTTATATATGATGGGGTACCCAAAAGAAACTGAAGTAATTTTTTTGTGGGCAGAGCTTTTGTAGTACCGCGTTTTGCCGCTATGAGCACATAGAGCTAACATTCCTGAGTCGATCAGCCGACTACCGTTGCTTCAGAAGGTAAGGACTAGTTTCGGCAGAGTTTATAGTGACAACTATTTTGTGTGATCGTCGTTTTTGCAATGGCTGATTTTCGTGAACAGCGTGCGGCGGTGAAATTCTGATTTTTGCTTGGGAAAAGTGGAACAGAAACTCTTGAAATGTTAAAAACGGTGTACAAGGACGATGCTATGGGGAAAACTCAAGTGTATGAGTGGTTTTCCCGTTTCAAAAATGGTGAAATGTCAATTGATGACAAACCTCGTTCTGGTCGTCCTTCCACGGCCCAAACACATGAAAATGTTGAAAAAATTCTTGAAATCATCAAGGAAGATCGACGACAGACCATTGAAGAAATTGTGGAGCTGTTGGGAGTGACTTGGAGCTCAGTTCAGCGAATTTTGACAGAAGATTTGGGAATGAAAAGGGTGGCTGCGAAATTCGTGCCACGACTGCTGACTGCTGAACAAAAACAAGGTCGCGTGGAAGCATGCTGTGCTTTGAAAGAAGAGTCCCGAAATGATCAAAACTTTTTTCAAAAATTATCACTGGTGACGAAACCTGGTGCTATGCTTACGATCCTGAATCAAAGCAACAGTCAAGCCAGTGGAAGACTTCAAGTTTGCCTCGCCCCAAGAAAGCTCGTCAGGTGAAATCAAACATGAAAACAATGCTGATTTGTTTTTTTGATGTGAGAGGAGTTTGTTCCGCAGGGTCAGACAGTTAACCAGGCTTTCTACTTGGAAGGTTTGAAAATATTGCACAACAGTTTGCGGCGGAAGCGACCAGATTTGTGGCAGTCGGATGACTGGTTTTTCCATCATGACAATGCCCCTGCTCACACAGCCCTGTCTGTATGACAATTCTTGACCAAAAATGGTATGACCCCTGTTCCTCACCCTCCATACTCACCCGACCTTGCCCCATGCGACTTTTTTTTGTTTCCTCGAATGAAAAGAGACATGAAAGGAAAGCGTTTTGCTGATGTTGCTGAGGTGAAGGAAAAAACGACGGAGGCGCTGTCAGGCATCTCAAAAGATGAATTTAGACAATGTTTTGAAAAATGGAATAAAAGACTAGACAAGTGTAATTAGTGTAAGTGGAGAGTACTTTGAAGGGGATTTAAGGTTTGTGCTTAAAATTTGAATAAATAAGTTTAAAAAAAATAAGTTCAGTTTCTTTTGGGTACCCCCTCGTATATGGTGAACAGGAACATTTGATTATTTCTAAATTTATCTAAAAGGATTGAATGAAAAATAAGGAATTTATTGACTCTTATGTTCTTCGTTTTAGACAGTTATCCAAACTGACACTGTTCACCTCTGACTATGGGTGAATAATGTGTCTTGTATATGTGTTCTGTATGTATATTGAACATCAAGTAATGTTTCAGAATTTTGATATAGTGATGTGACGTTATGCTGCACTGCGGCTTGTCTTGCAGTGTATAGTTTCAGTCCCAGTCTGAATATTCCTATTGGGTAGTTTAAATTAAACCTTCAATTCTGATTTGTTCTTCATTAAGTGACTTGGACATGACCAAAATCAACATACAGCTACATAGTACATACCACCCATACATGTTTAGTGTCGTGCTTAAAACAACTTTACTTACACCTCATTACTCAAGATTTACTTTACAGCTTATAAGTATTGATTGGAATTAAAATGTATGTGGGAAATAGGACTACAGCTCCTTGTATAATGAAGGAAGCCATATGTCAACATGGATACTTAATACCTGCTTACTACTTACACACAACAGGATCGAGAAACTCAAGATTATCTGAATATTAATTAATGTTCAGTGGAATCAGATTTATATCTCTCTTGTAACCATGAGATAACCTAGCGACGTGTGATTGGAATTCACTGTTCCAAGTGCAAGGCTGTATTGCTTGTGGCATTGTTATAAAGTGTTATTTATGTCACTAAACAAACACACAGTTTGTATGGTTCTACAGATGTGTTGTGATGAATCTGGTTTGTAAGTTGATCTTTGTGTTCTGAAGACAAAATCATGGGTATTTGCACAGACCACCATTGCACTTAAGAGTCAGGAACTTTGGTCATACTTCTGTTGTTTGTCACTGGACATGTACAGGAACAGCCCTTTCATAATGTAAGTGTAGTCACTTGAGTCTCAAAGTTCATACAGTTTTCTGCCAAAACATACATGTTTTTGGGATATGTTATATTGTTTGACAGTAACTCTCTTTGAAAGGAACAGTAACTTCATTAACACTGTAAAATGTGTAAGATTTGAGGCTTTCACGGCGGTGACTATGAAGAAAGCAGTCTTCTGGGATTTGGCACCGTGTATATGTGGTGTTAACCGACGTTTCGGAGGAACATCGGTTAACACCACATATACACGGTGCCAAATCCCAGAAGACTGCTTTCTTCACTGTAAAATGTGTTATATGCATGATTAAGTTCATCATGGAGAGTTCTGATTTGCTAGTGTCATTGGTTTTTCAGTCTTGTTGATTCGTATGTATTTTCACAGCTAACTCATTCCATGGTACATTGTCCTACTTGTGAAGCTGATAGTTATTCAGGTAGTCAGTATATTTCCAAGCCTTTTATGGAACTGTGTTCACAAGGGCCTGCCATTTTTCCCTGTCCTGGCACAAATTAATCCAGTGCACACACTCACACTGTTTCCTTAAGAACTAACTGAGGCACAGAAGATGACAGTCATTCAGCGGCCAGAAAAATTTCCTGCCTTTTATGGGAAACTTAACGTTCATTATTGTGTTTACAAGAGGCCACATTTCTTTAAGATCTATCTTAAAATTGCTCTGCCATCTTTAAATGATTCCTTCCTTCAGATCTTTTGACCACAATTTTGCATGCTTTTCTCCTCTTCCATGCATGTTATATTCCCCTTCATTTCTTCCTACTTGAATTTATTTGGGAAGGATACAAATTATGAAGGACCTCATGTAGTTTTTTCTATCCCACTCATTTCCTGTCTCTGAGATCAATATGTTTTCCTCAGCACTTTGTTGTCAAACACCTTGAATATGTGTACCTCCCAGAGGTACCAGAGAAATTTTATAGACCTGCATAGATTTACAAGACACTCTAAATGGTAATTGCAAAGTGAAGACTGTTGTGTCCTTTCTCAGTTTATTTGAAAGTGTGCTGCTTTATTGGTGCTGATGAACTAGTTTGTAGTGGTAAAGTAAGCAAGCAGTTTAGGATGTTATATAATGAGGAACTTAATGGTTTATGCATATATGATATTTTAGGATAGTGAAAATACAGGAGACTGTAGTGAGCTTAGCATATAGCTAGGATGGGAAAAGCAATGCAACATAATTTTGAGTTTACACCTTTTGAAAAGTGTGTGCTTGGAAGGTTGAAAAAGAGATGGACAGGTTTTCAGGATGGTGGATGGAACCATGTCCAGTGACTGGTTTTGGTGTTAGTGTTGTTGAATTTTTTAATCCTACTATCTCAGACTTGACACACTTTTTGTGATTGCTGGAATTTGAGAATTTAGTTGTAGCAGCTCCCATCTGTAGGAGAGATTTTGAAGACTTTGTGTGATATGCAAGCAGAACAGTTCAACACTGAATATATTTAGAATAAGCCACATGATGTTTCATTTTCTCATGGCTGGTGGAGTGGACTATAAATTGGACTGATGTGTTTTAGAGAGAAGTTGTGATCTGTTGGATATACTGATATCTATTTGCTGTGTCAGAAAATTCATTTGCATATGGCAGGCAACATGAACATGAAAATTCTGAAGTTGTACCATGGAAAATGGAAGGCTTTACCTTTTCCTTTATCTATTCATTTATTTCTGGATAATGGGATATCTGGACTAGGCTGTTTATAGACAGGACGGAGATAACTGAAATGTGTACTGTTTTAGATATTTATAGATTTCTGTTATTATAATAAATCTGTGCCAAATTATATTATTATTTTCTTGACCTTCATGCGATACTTTTGGAGTTCCATGGGTTGTGCCAGTGTATTGTGTTACGAATAACAACATACAGGCAGCAAAGAAACTGAAACTTTCACAAAATTATACAGTGTCTACTCTCTGTGCATGATTATTATTAACTCTGTTATTTGCTCTTTCCTTGATTGGTGCTGCTTACATAGCAATCAGTGGCGACCAATCCTGTAAGTATGCCAACAAACTTATCAGCAAGCAATACTGAGCAGCAAGTAACAAGTACCTCCCAAGAAGCAGTATTTTCCTCTTCCAGCTGCTATGAAACAATAATTACTTCTAACACATTAACAGGAATGTCCCCAAGTACTGGTTCTTGCAAGAGAAGTGACCTGAATCCTCTAAGAAACAGTGTTACTCTTTGTCAGAGTAGTCCTAAACACTGCAACAGTTTGGGGGAGACAGCACCAGCTTTGGGACAAATCCACCACAGGGTGGACCATATGTTGTGCAGTAGTGAATTAAGTTTTGAACAGGGTTGTGGTATTCATCCTGAAGTCAGTAGTGATCCCATCGCAAGTAAGGCTCTTCATCATAACTTCAGAAGTGTGACTTCATTGGCTGATGCTTCTGTTAATTACAGCTTAGAAAATCTGAACAAGGAGGATACACATGAGGTAACAAACACTCCCCCAAGAAATATGCCTGATTTAACAACAAATACTCAAACCAGTACAAATGAATTAACAGTTTTTTCTAACATTAATCAACATGTTACTTCTTTGAAGTGTATCACAGCGTCTACCTTCAGAACTTTCCCTGGAAAACTATCTGCTCAGTACTCCTTTAATAATAATGATAGCAATAATGAAGGTGAAACCATCGTCCCCACTTTCTCTGATAATGATAATGTACAATCCTGTCCACCTTCTCTTTCACGTAGCAAAAGACTGTGGAATTTTGGTTGTAGTCGCAAGAAATCTGATGTGATTTGTGATACAGTGGATGCATGGAGTAATACTCGTAGTGGGAAATTATTTTTCAACTTGAAGCAGAGTTTGTTTGGACATATGAATCGTACTGAAAGGATGTTATTGATTGGTGGAAGTAAGCCCCTTGTATTTGGTGGGACGTATCCCATAGATGTGCCGTTGGAAATAAATGTGGAAGAAACCGTGAGTAACAGTGATAAAGATGTTTATTCACACACATATGACATTGACAGTCCGTGCTTAGGTTTCAGGAAAGAGACTTTAGCGAGTTCATCCGTGGATAGTCAGAACACTGTTGTTAGAAGAAATAAAATTGTGTCTGAGCAGTGTTCAATTCTTGGTTCATCACCAGAATTGAAACATTGAGCTTCAACAGATTGATTTCAATGTGTGCAAATGAAATATAAAGTATGTTTTAAATAAAGAAATTTTCTAAATATATTAATCTATGTGTTCCCTTCGAACAGAGAAGACTTCGCCAAATATCATGAGCATTATTGTAGGACCTCAGATATGCAAATCTGTTTTCCAGATTTTTTTTTATTCCTTCATGAAATTGTACAAAAATTTGAAGAATTTGATGTAAGCAATAATATAATACAGTAATTAAAGATGTGATTTTTACACCAAAAAAATGTGCTCTTAATAAGAAAAGCTATATTCTCTGTGGCTTTGTAGCTGATAGATGCCACAATTTTGTCTTCCAAGCATTATTATAATAGACTTCATGTAACAAGCACAAAGAAACTGTATACTACATGAAGGGAAGAAGAACATACTGAGTTCTGAATTGTAATAGGCTGTCAGCACTTCACCTCGAGAGGGATCAGTGTTACAGTGAATTCATAACAATTCATCATGTGGGTATGGGCATAGTTTGACTTTTCACTAGCCACATATTGCATGAATAATATTAATGTGTGGATGTAGTTTCACCATATACGAGGCATGATGAAACAGTATTGAGGCTGAATATATGAAAATGATGCAGATGGATAGGAGGTTAATCTCCTTAAGAATAGGCTTGTTCAGCATGTGTACACATTTTTTGTACTGCTGTGTAAATGCTGGAAGCATCTTTTGCCTTTCAGGGTTTTCCTTTAAGTTTAGGAAACAGAAAAAATGACAGGAAACTGACTAAAGATTGCACCAGAGGAAGGGATAAATAGACATGAGCATTGTGATTGTGAATTTGTCACTTGCTGGATTGCCACTGGCATTTACTTTCTTCTCCACCTTGGAGACACCTGAACACCTGCCAGTAGAAATCTTGGTTAATAGCCCAAGCTTATTGAATGAATGATCAATATCTTTTTTACTTTGGGGTGCACTTTTACTTATACTTGAAGAAAGGGATTTCCAGTGCAATGATCACTGATTTGTTTCAATTCACAGACATGTATTTCATTGCCTGTTATATTTTTTAAGAAATTGTCATTGGTCTCGGCACATTCAGGCAAGCCAGAAGCCACAAAGTAGCTGTTTTCTTTATATTTTTGTGCCCATAATCTTTGAATGTACTTGATTCATACATGCCTTATTCAAAATCTCTTGTTTAAAATTGCCCGACAGAACCCATAAAAATACCCACTTCCTCAGTCTTTTCAAGGATAAGAAATATATTGTAATTTCTGTTGAATAGCACACTTGAGCAATCAGAATTATTGTGTGTACTGATTGAATGCCATCCAGGATGCTTGTCATTTTTTGTCAGGTGGTCACCCCGCTTTAAAAGCACAGAACCAACCAGAAACATATGCTCAGGTCATTATTGTATCTGAAAATTGTTAGCTCTTTAAATAAGTAGTGTCTCCTGGAAAATTTTGTGATTCAAACGTACATAGTCTTTTAAGAAAGCCAACCAAATGCTATTTGTATCAATTGTAAATTTTGGTTTCTTTCTCACACTCAAGGGGGCATGCAGTAGTGTAGTAGGTTGAGGCACTATGCTACAAGCCAGAAGGTCATGGATTCAAGTCCTGATGAGGTGGATTTTTTTCAATTAACCCAATCCTTCCAGCTGCACTATGGTCCTGGGGTCGACTTACCCCCTAACGGAAATGAATACCAGGAATCTTCTTGGGCAGTAAAGCACAGCTGTCACATAAGGCTGGCAACTGTACTGCCCTCTCTGAGCCGATTGTCTAGAAAATTTGGGAGCCTTGACCTCTCATACCCCTATGGATCTTCATGGCCTGATACAGGGATAGCTTTACTTTTCTTAGCTTCTGACTTTGTTAACAAAATTTGATGCACACATGTAGTTCTGTATGCTTGAATACACTTACATTGGCATGTGACTCTAAAAGCTGACCATGTGTGACTGAAGCAATGGAATGAATGTAAATATGACTGGATATGCAGGACTGTGTCTGGACATACTCCCTGTAGTTATGTCCTAGGGTAGTGGAGTTAATTTGGTACAGGAATTCAGGCTTGATACTTTCTGATCAGACCCCGTATAATTTGTGTCTATAGTGTAGTGTATAGTGTACATACAATGTAGTATAAAGCTGTGTGTAATTGCACTCTTCATGTGACTTTCTTAGAAGCTACAAAACTAGAGCCTGCTTACAAATTTTCCTAATGCTTTTGGATGGTTATAAACCTGTTATGTTGATCTGAAGCACTTATACCAGTAATAGGTACCATTTTAGGTGGTTAGAAAGAATGCGAAGCTGCATGTTTGCACAGCTGGACTTGTAAAAAAACGGTGGTTTCTATATTTGACAAGATATAAGTTATGTGATTGGTTGATGGATGAATTACTGTCAAACAGTTTTCATCAAAATGACTGAATGTGGTACCAGTCTCAGGGGCATGCAGTAGTGTAGTTGGTTCAGGCATTGTGCTAAAAGCTGGAAGGTTGCCAGTTCGATTTCTGATCAGGTCATTGAATTTTTTCAATTTACCTGATCCTTCCAGCTGCACTGTTGCCATGGGGTCGACTCAGCCTTTAACAGAAATGAGTACCAGGAATCTTCCTCAGGGGGGTAAAGGGTGGCTGGCATCTAAGGTTGACAACCTTACTGCCATCTGTGAGCCGATTGTCTAGAAAATGTGGGAGCCTTGACATCTCAACCCAGAGGGCCTTCATGGCCTGTTACAGGGATAACTCTACCTTTTTTTGCTAGTCTCAGTATTTCGTTCTTTTTTATCTTTGTCTTTTCAAGAGGGCCAAGTTAAGTCAGGGGTTCATGAACTGAACATTTTTTATGTCAAATCAGATACCACAGTATTTGTCTGTTCAGGTTTCACTCTTCATTTTTGTGGTATGTCGTGTTCCTTCATGTGTCATGTGAAAGAAATAGTGTGCTCCTCTTCTCCCAGATATGAATTTGACCTTTTATACAGAGTAGTCTTTAAAGGCCAAATAGAAGCTTTACTAAGAGCAGCATGCAGTTCGCAAATTTTGTCGCTGTACTCTCTTCAGAATATTTTTTTACGTAACGATGACATTAAATTCTGTGCACAGACTTTTTTTAAAACTCTAATGGTTGTTGAAGTCCAAGGAAGAGCTAAAGCTAGAACTATCATATCCTTTTATTCAGCAGTGTCTTTAAGTAGATTATATTAAACATGAAAAGAAACCAGTTTACCTTTCTCCTGTTCTGCATGCTAGCAACCCTGTACCTAATTTTTCCCCATATTCTTCACTGCTTAATTCCAAAGAGATGTGTGTGGCAAGTCGAAAGAAGTGTTTCTTTGGTAGCACAGAAAGGCTTAAAAATAACTATGGACTATTTGCAAAGGAGGGGTAATACTTTAAATGTGTGAATAGATAAGAATTTGTTTGCTGCCTCTCATTAACTTAAATCTGTGACTAAATGATGTGTTAATGTTCAGGCTAACCTGAGAAGCAGTACATGATACTGATATTTTCTTTAAAGGGCTTCTAATGCATATATTAATATCTGATGTGTGTGTTAAATATAAAGCCTTTCATTTTAGATATTTTATAATTTGCTTATGACTAGAAAGGTTTTAATTATGTCCTTTCAAACATACATTTTGGTCTTCTTACACTAACATATGTATGAAAGGAAGAATATACTGTTCAGTCATGTATGGAGATAGATTTTTAACAGAAGCATGGTCGTAATATTGTGCCTACAGCTTAAGTTTAGGATTCTTCTTTTCAGTGTGAAACTGTTGCACTGTTTTTTCCAAGGTATTATAGTAAGTACAGGTAACTATGAAACTGGACTCATTTGGCTGGATATCCCAACACTACCACCACCATCACGATCATTTCCTCAAGTATTTAGTTCATTTGTCTTAACATTAAATGTATTCTTTTTGTTGCTAGTGGGGTGGGACTAAGTCCCTTGTACTATGGCACCTTCTGGCCTATTGTACCAGCCCCAGATGATAGGTGAGGGTGATTGTAGAGCAATTGGTGAAATGAAGATTGGCAGGGGAAACCGAAGTACTCGGAGAAAACCTGCCCCAGCGCCACTTTGTTCACCACAAATCCCACTTGACCAGACCTGGGATTGAACCTGGGCCACCGCGGTGGGAAGCCAGCTACTAACCGCTTGAGCTATGGAGTGGCCTAACATTAAATGTAAGAAATATATATTAGCTTCCTTTTCTTCAGTTTGATTGACTAACTTCTGGCTGAGATTAGAAGAAGTTACAGAAGTGACCATAAAGATTGTAGTATTCTGGAATGTGTCACCTGGTAGATAAATACCAATCCTGTACTCCAAAGATGGAATTAGCAGGTTCCTCAAAATCATGGTACTTATCAGCCAAACTGTTATTGTTGCATCCCAGAATACCATAACCTTAAATCCTCTGGTTGTTGAAAACAAAGCATGTTCTTATACATCTTTTTTCCCCCCCCAAGGTCAGGATGTTAATTGTTTTGAGAATAACTGTCTGTGTGGTTTTCGGGTGTGTTTGGCAGGATGTACCACAAGTGACATTACCAGGATCCACTTCACAGATGACACAGCAGCAAGAATCATCAACACCACAATCAAAACCCTCTTTGGGAACCAAATCTCCTATCAAACAGAAGCAAAAAGAAGAAGTATCAAAGCATTCGGGAGGCAACCGCAGCTTGTTGGGAGTAATCTGGAACAGATTTGTTCTCCGGCCAGCAAATCAAATGAAGTTGCCAGATGATAAAAATCCATCAGTATGTGTATAGTGTTTGTAAAAAATCAGTCAGCATTTCTGTTAACATCATAAAATTAACTACCAAGCTAGACCTTGGTATGTCATTGTCACTTTACATTTATGTGTTGTTTTTATTGTGTGGTCATTTTACTTTTTACTTGTAACTGCATTCCAAAATGTGTGCCAGTTAATACCAATTTGTTATTGATCTAGTGATTAACTTCCTTTTTTCCCCATAAAGGAAATTCCTAGAACTACCTTCGCGGAACAACTCTTAAAAAGCTGATAGTTGCTTGGGTAGTCATGGAACACACTGCCTATGGCATGACATTACATTACATTGCATTGCATTCCATGGATCCAAAGTTACTCAAAATGACCGTAGGATGTGGAATATGTCATATAAATACAAAACATATGTACAGTCCCAATGGAGTTCTCACACAAGAGAAACCAAGAATACACAGTGACTACACACAAGGCTATTTAAAGATACATAAGTTATTTTCTAGACAATAAGTATTCATCAACAGAGTAGAATGAATGTGTATTTAAGTATCCTTTCAGTGCTGTTTTAAATCATGCCTTTTCATTCATAAGACCTTTGAGGTCTGATGGCAGGATATTAAAAATGTTGATCCCAGCATAATATGCGCTTTTCTGAAAGCCTGATAGGTTAACAATTGGTTTATGAAGACAGTGTTTGTGTGTTAACACTGTGTACATCTGCATTCATCTGAAAATGTTCTTCATTATTTGTAATGAAGTTTATTAATGAATATATTGTGATGTGGATGACACAACAGGAAGTAGGGGTCATGTGAACTCTGCATTTTCGCGAGTGATGTCACATACCCACACCTTCTGTCATTATGCAATGCTCGGTAAACACCCCCCACCCCAACGATGACCTAGCAGCACTTCCCAAAGTGATGTAACAGGGGACACCGCGGTTACTACGTGGCAACAGGGAACAGTATAAGAGGCCGGCTGAGCAGCGTATGAGACAGAGTGTGGATTGGGAAGCCAGACAGAAGACAGTTGAAGTCCAGCAGCTATGAGTTGAGTCATATCAAGTGAATGGAAGTGACTACAGCAGGAGAAGTAATTGTGAAACTGCAGATGGCAGTAACTGTGTAAGTGTGAGAGTGAATGTGGAATAAATTCTCTAGATCCAAAACGGTTTGAAGTTATTTGTCATGTGACCCATACCCAACACGTGGCAATTTGGTGTCAGAAGTGGTTACGAACTTACACATGCAAAAACCACGCGAAAAAGGTATGGAATCACAGCAGATGTTGGAACTTCTGCTGAAGGAAATCAGAGCTGCCCAAGAAAAAGCAGACGTCATGCTAGAGAAAACTAGAACCAACCAAGCTAAGACGGATACTGGCCATAATGGAGACTGGCCGAGAGGAGTGGAGAGTCGGCCAAGAAAAACTGTGAGAGGGAATGAAAGTCTGGCGAGAAGAAATCCCCTCAGTGTGGTTTGAGGCAAGGGATACCTGAAAAGAGACAATAGCCTACCAAGAGATGGAGGGACGTCTAGAAGAAAAAGAGCCAACCTCAGTGGACATGAAACCTGAGGTGGCAGAATGACGAGAGGTCCGTGTAGAAGAAGGCACATTGATGCTGATCAGAGAACCGAAGAAGAAGAAGAGGTGTAAGGACTGAAAACTGGCCACAAAGTGCCACAACCAGATGAATGAACGGACCCAGTGTCAGGATGGGTGCCGAAGAAGAGGACTGGCCATCACAAGAAGAGGGACGAGCCGCTGTGTGATGGCAGACTAAGAAAAACGACAAGAAGATGTCCCGCCGTGCAACAGTGGCATGACTCAAGAGAGACATCCTCAGGGCGAACAAGACCCAGGAAAAGTGTCGACCGTGGAAAGAACTGGCTGCTGAGAGAATCAGGATGACCTGCTGTGCAGAAGTGGCATGGCGTAGGAGACACGGACAGGGACAATGCTGCAGCAAGATCCCAGAAAAGGAAAGTGCTTCGGAAACAGCGTCGAGTGCACCCTGGAGACAACAGAACAGTAAGGAGCCGAAACTTCAAGGAACCCATTCCTAGGAACATGAAGACATTGCATGAGGCCCTTGGACAAGCTCTCGAGTCAGAGGGCGTGAAGGGAACCATCTGGATTTCCAGTAGGTTAAGAGAGGTGAGACACTGGACACTGTGGAGGGGTCGACCCCTTCTGAAATGGAACAAATGGAATAGCGAATGGTGGAGGAACCGGTAACACAGAAGCACCGGCCTCTCCAGCTAGAACGAGTGAATGAGAGACGAAGGAATGTGAGACAACGGAATTAACAACTGCTGTACCGTGGAGCTGCTCGGGATGAGCACCTTTGAAGAAGGGGACTAGAGGTAGCGCCCCGAAGAAAAACACCAAAGGAAAAGGAACAGGGATGTACCGTTAGGCTGTTCGGGATGAACAACCTTTAGAAGGGAGCAGTGCAACGTGGATGGCGCAACAGGAAGTAGAGGTCACTTGAACTCTGCATTTTTGTGAGTGACATCACATACCCCCACTCCTTCCATCATTACGCAATGCTCGGTAAACATCCCCCCCGGTGACGTAACAGCACTTCCCACACTGATGTAACAGGGGACACCGCGGTTACTATGTGGCAACAGGGAACAGTATAAGAGGCTGGCTGAGTGGTGTATGAGGCAGAGTATGGATGGGGAAGCCAAACAGAAGACATTTGAAGTCCAGCAGCTATGAGTTGAGGCGTATCGAGTGAATGGAAGTGACTACAGCAGAAGAAGTAATTGTGATACTGCAGATGGCAGTAATTGTGTAATTGTGAATTGTGTAAGTGTAAGAGCGAATGTGGAATAAATTCTCTAGATCCAAAATGGCGTGAAGTTATTTGTCGTGTGACCCATACGCAACACATGACAATATATATTCACAAGGAAAAGTTAAGATCTCTGATCTCTACAGGAATTACAGGATTTGACACCCATCATGACTCTAACAATTTTCTTTTGTAATGTAAAATTTCTTTTTACTGTCAGATGAAATACCGCAGAAAATTATTCCATACTTCATTAAAGAGTGAAAGTAAGCAGAATAAATTGATTTGAGAGTGTCAATGTTTTTTTTTATCCACATAGTGGGGGGTGAGTTCAGTTGTGTCCACCCAGCACGTCAGCCGTTAAATGGCCTATTGTATCTGCCCCTGGTGATTATGATGGAGAATTTGGTGGAATGAAGATTGACAGGGGAAACCGAAGTACTCGGAGATCCGCCCCAGTGCCACTTTGTTCACCACAAATCCCACTTCACCAGACCCGGTTTTGAACCTGGGCTGCTGCGGTGTGAAGCCAGTGACTAACCGCTTGAGCTATGGCGCTGCCTAAGTGTCAATGTTACTAATATGTAACATGAATCTAACTACATAACATGCTCTACTGAGCTTTGGAATCAACTGATCAGTATGTTTTCCAGTTTAAATGGTTATCAATTTGCAAAACAAGGAATTTTGTGTTTACTCCCTCTTATATATATTTATCATTATATACTATGTTTAACGGGTATTGTGGTGAATTTTTTGTTATAAATTTTATTACATTTGTTTTTTTTTCTAGGTTCAGCGACAGCTTGTTTGCAGAAAACCATTTACTCATTTGTGAAAGAACCTTTCTTGATAACATGCAGAAGTCATCTAAATTTTTACCAGAAATTATGACACTAGTGTCATCTGCAAATATTATAGGTATTGATGAGGTCCTTAGTGTAGGAGGGAGGTCATTTATATAAATTATGAAAAGCAAAGGCCCCAAAATTGACCCCTGTGGAACTCCACGTTTTATTATTCCCCAGTTTGAGTAGGTACTTTGGATTGAATTTGATGATTTTATTTTAATCTTTTGTTTTCTATCTGTTAGGTAGGATCTGAACCAACTTAACGTTGTTCCCTGAATGCCAAAAAAATGTAATTTAGTTAATAAAATTTCATGATTTACACAGTCAAAAGCCTTTCCAAGTCACAGAATATTCCACCAACATACCTTTTTTAATTAATAGATTCCAACACTCTGTTAACTTAAAGACTGCATTTTCAATGGAAATTCCTTTCCTAAAGCCAAACTGTTCTGGGACTAGTATACTGTTACTCTGAAAATAATGGCTTAACCTATACTTTAGAGAAAGTAGTTAGCAGTGAAATTGGCATGTAGTTTGACATACTAGTCTTGTCCTCTTTTTTATATAGTGGTCTTATTACTGAAATCTTAAGATGATCAGGAAAGATTCCTGTGGATAGTGAGTGATTACAGATGTGAGTTAATGGGCTACTGATTAGAGATGCACAAACTTTTAAAATTTTACTTGATATTCCATCATAACCTGAAGAGTTTTTTGTTTTGAGGGAATGTATTATGACGTGGATGGTGCAACCGGACATAGGGGTCATGTGAACTCTGCAGTCTTGCGAGTGATGTCACATACCCCCACCACTTCCATTATCACGCAACGCTTGGTAAACACTCCGTCGCCTCCCGCGGTGATGTAACAGAAGAGCAACTGTGTCAGGCAACCATTGCCGTGGTCATGTAACATCACTTCCTACAGTGACGTAACAAGGGATACCACAGCTACTACACAGCAGTAAACAACTCTCAACGGCAGTGCCTAAGAACGCCTGTAAACACAACGTTACGCAACAGCGGTACCTATCACATAACTGTTTTCAGTGTTCTCCATGCCGAGCCTAAATAAGGAGCAGCGAACACTATTCAGGAGTAGTGAGGATCGAGCCAGTTACGAGTGAGTGAGTAGTGAGTGAGTTACTAGTGAGTAACGATTAACCAGTCAGTTGAATTGTAGCAGTCGCTGAATCTGGTTGTATCGAGTGCATGACGGTGACTACAGGAGAAGTATTTGTGATACTGCCAATGGCAGTAATTGTGAGATTGTAAATTGTGTAAATGTAAGAGCTAGTGTTCAATAAATTCAATATATCAAAGATGGCGTGAAGTTACTTGTTGCGTGACATACACCCAACATGTGACAATTTGGTGTCAGAAGTGGGATTGGACTTATACACGTGACCAACAGAATACAAACTTAAACATGAAGACCACAAAAAAGAAAAGATGGATATACAGCAGATGTTGGAACTCCTCCTGGCCAAGATAGATGTGAATACAAAGGTCATGGAAGAAAAAGCAGAAGCCATCCGAGCCAAAATGAGAGCAACCCAAGCAAGGACGGCCGCCATCTGAAAAGGGATGGGCACCAACCCCAAGGAGATATTGGCCGAATTTAAACCCGAAATGGACGCAAAGACAATGGCCTGCCAAGAGATGGAGGCACGTCTAGAAGAAGAAGAGCAGACCTCGGTGGAAATGAAACCTGATGTGGCACAACAAGACAAAGTCCCCAATGAAGATGCTGTAGTGAAACCAGTCAAAGGACAGAAGAGGAGGCATAAGGGCAAGAAGCAAGCTGCAGAGCGATGCGAGGAGCCAAAGGAACTGACTCGAGGAATTTGTGGATCCCGGAGGAAGTTGGCTGTCACCTGCAGGAATGTATCCCGTCGCGCAACAGTGGCACGATGTAGGAGAGATGTGTTCAAGAAAGAACGGACCCAAAATCAGGATGGGTGCCAGAAGTAATGTGTTGCCGATCCCAGAAGGATGAACCGCTGTGCAGGAGTGGCACAGCGCAATGGACACATCATTGGGAACAACCAGACTAGGAACAATGTTGCAAGAAGAGCCCTCAGAGGGTGGAGACGTCAGGTGGAACTGGAGGGCAGCATTGGAGTGAAGAATGAACACACAAGACAGCGGTTGCATCCTGGGAATGAGAAAACAGCCAGCCAAACCCTCAGGAAGACCGTAGGGCTGGATATCAGGCAACAAGCAGTAGAGATTTCCAGCAGAATACAGAACATCAAAAACTGGACCTTGTGGAGGTTGACCCCTTCCAAAACGAGAAAGAAGCAGAGCACAGAAGAGGAGCCGGTAAATTAGAAGTACTGGCCTCCCAAGCAAGAGTGAATGTGCGATGGATGAATGTGATAAAACTGGATCTTCTGGCAAGTTAGCAGGAAACCGCTTGAGATGAGCTGGTCTTAGAGAAGGAGCGGATGTAACGGTTGGAAAATGGACAACAGGAAGAAAAAGGAATGGGGATGTACTGTTAGGCTGTTCGGGACGAACAACCTTTAGAAGGGAGCAGTGTGACATGAATGGCGCAACGGGAAATAGGGCTCATGTGAACTCTGCGGTCTTGCGAGTGACGTCACATACCCCCACCCCTTCCATTATCACGCAACGCTCGGTAAACACTCCGTCGCCTCCCGCGGTGATGTAACAGAAGAGCAACTGTGTCAGGCAACCATTGCCATGATCATATAACATCACTTCCCACAGTGTCATGTCAAGGGATACCACAGCTACTACACAGCAGTAAACAACTCTCAACGGCAGTGCCTAAGAACGCCTGTAAACACAACGTTACGCAACAGCGGTACCTATCACATAACTGTTTTCAGTGTTCTCCATGCCGAGCCTAAATAAGGAGCAGCGAACACTATTCAGGAGTAGTGAGGATCGAGCCAGTTATGAGTGAGTGAGTAGTGAGTGAGTTACTAGCAAGTAACGATTAACCAGTCGGTTGAATTGTAGCAGTCGCTGAATCTGGTTGTATCGAGTGCATGGCAGTGACTACAGGAGAAGTATTTGTGATACTGCTGATGGCAGTAATTGTGAGATTGTAAATTGTGTAAATGTAAGAGCGAGTGTTCAATAAATTCGCTATATCAAAGATGGCGTGAAATTACTTGTGGCATGACATACACCCAACACGTGACAGTATTATACTTTTTATTTCAGTTTCAGTGGTTGGAATGGTTTTAATACCAGGGAATTTTCTAGGAAATGCCTCTCTTAAAAATGAAATGACATTATCTCCAACTTCCTGATGGAAGTTTAGGTTTTCTGTAATTGTTAGAAAAAAGTATTGAAGGCATCTGAAATTTCTCCTGGGTCCTCAACTTTTTCATCATTTATAAGGAGAGATGGTACCTGTTCAGTCAGATGTGATTTTCCTGTTTCATGTTTTATTATCATGTTCCCAAGAACTTGTCACTGAGCCTGTCGTGAAGTATACAAATCCAATCCACACCTTCACATCATCTTTCTTCAAGACCCATTTTGTATTATCTGCCCTTTATGTTTTGGTCCCCCAGTGGTCTCTTCCCTGCAGGCTTTCGAGCCAACTTTTTATATTCATCTCTCATGTTTGCTGTGTACCCTGCCCATCTCATCTACATTTAGTTGATCATCACAGTAATATGTAGTGAAAAATATATATATGAAGCTTATATTGTATGTAGATATATATATATATATATATATA